CCCACCAGGAAGAGTAATGAATGTTATTGAAAAAATATCATTTCAACACAATTGGCACCCTTGTATTAATCTAATGTCGTACTGTGCGTTGTAGCCTCCAGAACAAACATGCCCACATACTCTTGGGTATAGAGTGTAGCAGAGATCTCACACAGAAAAGATGCTGATGATGATTTAAAAGTGGGCGGTAGCAGCATCCTCTCAGTCCTGGTACATCAGTTTTCTTTGTGAGCCAGTTTTTAAGAAACATAACTGGTGTGTCTGAGTGGGTGCAGGGTAAAAAAAAAAAATCACTGCTAACATTCAGAAAATCCCACGTCATTGGCATTCATGTGCATACAGGCAGAGTTTAAGGTAACTGAATCTGAACTGCAATGTCAGCACAGACAGTGTATGCAAATACACCCTGAATGAGCTGCGGGAATGGGGACAGTTAATGCAAATAAAGCACATTTGCAACACATTACTGGGCTCACATTTCCTTTTGGCTGCTACCCTCCACACACTCATGTTCAGGCTTTCAGAGTATTCCCTTTAGGTTTCCTGGCTCTCATCTGCATTTCTTTCACACTCCAAGTGTTAAGAAGAAGACTGCATGCATTTAACAGTCTGCAGGGTAAAATAATGTCTAGCCTTTGCTACTTTGTTTCATTGGAGCCTCAATTCATGTTATTGAAATGCCTCTTTGATATCTCCTGACCCATATGCCACTCTTTGATATGTAACCGAGTTAAAATATTGTATTAGAAAATACAAATAAACATTATTTCTCTCACTAATAAAATGTGTTTTCCTGATTGCAAATGTAGTATTTTGAATATGTTCAATAAAGCATTCAACACTAATAAAATGTGTGATTTTGATCAATTAATATTAGTATGATCTCATTAGTTCATCTTCATTTAGGTTCAGATATAAAGGTGAAATGATTCCCAAAATCATTAAATATAACCAGTGTCTCCCAAATAATCAGCATGAAACAATTTCAGTCAGTTAGTTGCAGCAATGTTTCACATATATATGCATTTCTGACTTCAGGGCTGTGTGAGTGAGCAAACTGAAATGTTTAATATGAATCTGGATTTTAAAAGAAGGAATAGTTAACACAAAAATACTGACTGATTACTTATGAACAGGATAGATGTCATCTCCTGCAGGCGTGTCTTTGTGCTTTATTTATCTACACCAAAGGGGTGAATACCTGCTAACTACATTATACCCAAAAATATCAATTAGGTCACATTAGCTGTAAAATGCTAACTGCTAAGCTAAATTACACCAAGAATAAATACATGCAGGTGGGTTGGTTTGTTCGATAGTTGTGAAAGAGCGATAAGGTGAATACCGACACACACACAAAAGAAAACGTTTGAATGAGCCAGTGTAAGCACAGACAGACGACCTTTTACTAAAAATTATGTTAGCTTGCAAGCTAGCGCCAGATATTCTTTTGTTCGTAAATCAAAGTCAGTACAACAAACACGATTACACGTAAAAAGCAGTAACCATCCTGTATTAAATACCGAGAAAGAGAAACGTTTTTGTAGAATCAGTAACCGTTAAATAGCAAAGGACGGCAAGAGGACGTGTGTACACGAATATGATTCCCGTTACACCAACGCCACACTGACTCCACCATTAACATCCGGGTCATTCCCGGTCTGTCTGATGCAAGTTCCAGCGGAGCGCTGAAACCAGCGGCACACCCTCTGAAACACACACACACGGAGCTACAACAGCAGCCTGAAGATACAGAGATAGCATAAAAAAGCGTTTTATTACTGATGAACCAGTAATGTAGAAACCCTATCTCAGTATCAATAAAATGTCTCACTAATAATAAAAAACGTCAAAGCCTTCTTAGGTTGTGTAGTTTAAACCAAATTCGCAAAAATTACAAAACCAAGCACATTTCCAGTATATATATCATTATCTTATTTGAGTTACTTTTGTAAGTTCACGGCATTGTTTGTTGTTAGTTTTAACATTTATTTCAGTCAACTAAAAGTTTTTTTTCAAAATTGATTTGTTTTAGTTAAGAAAATACTTCTTAACTTGTTTCTTTTCTATTCTGATAAATGCTAACACCAAAACTCAACTTACTGCATAACATGCAAGGCTGTGATATATCAACCCAACAAAATATATTTTGTTATGTAAATACATAGAGAGCGAAAGCAAAAAGGAAAAAACTGACACAAACCTTAAATGTAGTTTCTTGTGCCATCTAGTGGGTGTAGAGACGAACTGGGTGCAGCAAAGCTGACTGTGCAGAGGGCATTTACTGCTTACTGTAAAATCATGTGAATATATAAATGTCTCTTTATATAAAAAAAACAAAAGAAAAAAGTGACTGTAATCTATTTTGTATGGGGATTTGTACACAGGTCTCTTTCAAAAAAGAGTTTCAGATCTCACTGAAAACATAATAACGCCTGTAGATGTAGCTTTAGAAACAGTTAATACTGATTTTAATTTTTTAAATAGTTTTTATTTTTTAATTTAAAAAAGATTGTTTCTTTACTTTAAGTTTCTTTATCATATAGCCTCTGTCATATTGTAACTTTAGAACTGTAAAATAATGCAACACTTAACAATAGATTACCCAAAGCCTCTTAGATGTAGGTGCATTAATATAAAGTAGTTAACCAAAGTGAATAAAACTGAAGATGTCTCATGTATATTTTTTTACTTTACATTTTTTGAGTACATAATATTATTTTATTTTCATTTTTTTTTTAAACAACATAGTTTTTATTTCAGTTAGCTAAAACATTTTTTTTACCCACACTTAGGCTAACTATAATAACCCTGGTTAGAAGTCTTACATATAAATCTTTCTTGGCTTCTTAGAGGCATGTAACCCTGACTGGTATACAAATAGTTGAAGGAAGTTTTTGTTACAAGAAATAAAATTTTATGTCTATACATTTCTAAATTTTTGATCATGTGATGTGACTGTTGAGACATTCATTTTGTTGCATCTTGTATGCTTATGCTTCTTTTATCACAGCAGTTTATAATCCATAAAATGAAAGAAATATGATAAAGGAGTCCCTTTGCATGCCACTCATTTTCATTTTTAGGTAATCCAGTTAAAACCATTAAAAATAATATCTTTATATCTGGTATGTTTTTGGGGTTTTCTCTATATTATGTAGTCTTTACCTTACATTATAAAGCAATATGAGCAACTGTTGTTGTAACTTGGTACAATATAAATAAAACTGATTTGAATTGAATTGCCTGTTTAAATTCCTCAGAGGTTATGCTGCTCACTACTGAGTGGTACTTTAGACTAAAACCCTACACCTATTGCAACATAACTAAGGGAGGATTCAGGGTCACCTGATGCAGTCCTATATGCTTTAGCAAAAAGGAAAGTTTTAAGCCTAATCTTAAAAGTAGAGATAGTGTCTGTCTCCTGAATCCAAAGGGGAAGCTGGTTCCACAGAAGAGGGGCCTGAAAACTGAAGGCTCTGCCTCCCATTCTACTTTTAAATACCCCAGGAACAACAAGTAAACCTGCAGTCTGAGAGTGAAGTGCTCTAGATATCTAGTAAACCAGGCCAATGGGAAAAGATTAGTTGAATTAATTATCAGCTTTAGTAAAACAGAAATAAAAAATCTACTAAAACAGAAAATGAAGGAGAGATTGTTAACAGAGGTGAAAATGCGCAGGAATTTTCTAACGTGAATAGCCAGACTGCACTAAGGATAATTGTGGAGAAATAAACACACAATAGCCTTGAGCCATTTTCTCACATGAACTCACTTCTGAGATAAAAAAACAAAAACAAAACACTTTTGCAATGGTTACCAATATATAATGCACATCACATGTCAAACACAATGCATCTTATTTGCTGTTTCTGATTCAACTGATTCAAAACCTAAATATAATTAAACTGAACTAGATTCAACTGATTTACTTAGAAATAACTCAAGAAGTAAAAGTTATCAGGCTATAGGCTCTAATCCTTAAGTGACATTCAGGTCCACACTCCTTGCCAGTTGGTGGCGGTAATGAACAACTTGCTGTTGTCCATAACCGTGACCTTGACAACCACGAATAAACACAAAGTTGAAGATTTTTTTCTTGGGAAAAAAAAGTAAACTTAAAAAAGTCCATCATGTCTTTTGAAGAGTAGTCAGTTTTTTTGAGCACCCAGGCGTACTTGAAGGAGCCCTTTCCCATCTGGGGGACGGGAAAAGTTTTGTTTATAAAGCACCAAGTATGGTGAATGAGGTCTTATTGGCCTTAAGCTTCAAATGGAATAAAGAAATTGTGTTAATGTGTTTGAATGAAGCTGTAATTGGAATTGAATGACGTATCCACTTTATATTCTTTTTGTAACAATCAAACCAGACAGGATAAATTTTGACCCCAGAGGACAACAGATGTGATTATCAAATGATTCAAAAACAGCATCCTCACTAAATTTTGATATATACTACTCTGTGATAATTTAAATAGTCAAAATAATTCAATGTTTCATTTAATTTTCACTCAAAAAACATGATATACTTTTATGGAAATTAGGCCCTAAATTCCAAAATTAAGAGAAAATGTTGCTGTAATGCACTGGACCGAAGTAAGACTGAAGTTGTAACACAGAACTGATTGACAATTTATACCACATGTTTTACATAACAGTCAAATCAGAGGACAGAAGGAGTATGGGAGGACATTACGAGGGTTACATGCCAATCACTTTAATTTTCAGGTAATCCAAGTAAAAACAAAATTATTTTCAAAATAAAAGCACACATTTTCATGACATCACACATTTTTAAAGCACAGAGGAGGTGAATAAATCATCACATCTTTACAATCACAGTGCTCTTTGAAAAACTGCATGATGGTATTTCTTAGATCATATAGAAACAATAATTACTGTAGTTTATAAAAGTTTATAGTTTATAAAAGGAAGTTTCTTACTGTTGAAGCAAACCCATGTGATTACAAAAACTGCAAATGCTAGCACCCGAAGGTGCTTTAAGTCTTAAAAACAAGTGAAGAAACTCCAATCTAAAATGTAAGGTTTCACGTGTCTTTGGCACTCTTATCAGAATAAAACATCCTGAGTATTCATGTCATTGAAAAGTGCTTCTGTTGGTCCTAATAAACAGTCTGTAGAAGTGGTCAGAAAACTGCAAACAAAGCAGTCAAAGACGAAGCTGTGCGAAAAACTAATAAAAAGATCACTTCATGAAAAATTACTCAGTGTCTCCCACCTGACCCCCTCAAAATCTGCTGATTTTTACGTCCAATAACTTTCATATCTTTAATGAAACCATGCAAAATTTTATTATAATACTGTGAGTATTTCTTGAGTTACAGGCTCCCAAAGTACACAGGGTGGGTTAAGATTTGGATGATTTTGAGATGATGAGGAAGCCACACTGAAGGCAGCTTCACAGCAGCTGGATGTTCCTGTCTGAAGACATTTCGTCCCAAAGGAAACTGACAGAAACTGAACAGGAAATGTGAAATAACCAGGATGAGAGTTTGAGGCTGTGGTTCCCTGCTTGAAAACGGAGGATCTTTAACTCTGAGTCAGAGGAGAGAGGAGTCCCCAGGCGAGGGAGCATTTTATCCATGAGTGATGGGACGGTGGAGGGTTAGGTGGGATGGACTTTGAACATGACTGTTGTGGTGAAGAGAGAGCTGAGCTGGAGGCAAAGCTTTCAGTTTTACCTTTAAAAACATTCTTCAGGATCCAAACTTGCACATGTCAAAACAATTACAAAGAGAAAGATGTTTTTTTTCTCTCTTTTAACACAGAAGAAATCTGAGCTAGATAATGATGCTGGTATCAAAATGTAGGAAAAAAATAAGAACTTTCATGAGATATAATTTGTTTAGATCAGCCTCCCGTAAAACATGGTCATATGGTGCTTGAACGTATACCCAAAATGCAGATATCTCCATTGAATTATAAGAAAACAGGTCAAACATCCAGGTTAAAAGGTTAAAAAGGCTAAAAAATGCTGGAAAAAAAATAAGTGACTTAACTCACATACAAACGATTAAAACTTTATCAACAAGAGTAAACGTGTTTCCTGATTATTAAAAGGCAGCACGTGTTCGAATATGTCATCTGCACCAAAACTAATCTTTTCTTAAAAGTAGTGATAACATTCTAACCCTTGAAATTTCACCTCCCAGCGAATTTAAAGGGTTAAAAATGTGCCTAACAGGAAATTTTAAATGCTCCATAAGCTGTAATATAGTTGCTGGAATTACCGTAAAAATAAGTCTATCAGCTCACCTCGTAAACAAGAAGAGCATATTGTACCTCTGAAGTCATTATTGGTTCATGAAGTGTGAATACTGCATGAAGTCCCTTAAGTCATACCTAAATTTACAGATTAAACCTCCAGACATGTTTCTCTAAAATCAGAAAACTGTGTAAAACTAGCTAACTGTATATGTGTCTTTAAAGGCTCTGCTGCTGATGCATATTTCTGCTTTAATGTGATATGGACCTGTTCCTCTTCCTCTCAGCTTCAGCTCGCTCCTCCTCAGTGAGGGCCCATGGTTGGAGCTTGCCGCTGCCAAATAACGTGTAAATGACGGCACCGCCCGCGTTGATCCCGGCGGCAACCCAGAAGACTTTTGCCCAGCCGGCCAGAGTGTGCTGCCAACCAGAGGAGAGGACGATGAATGTTAAACACTGTGAATCTGACAGTGAATTATTGCTGCTTTCAACTATTTTATGATGCCTTCTGTGTATTTTCCACCTTGAAGAAATAAAAATATGAAGATATGATTTTATTATCATTCCTATTCCTGTCTAAGGTTTTTTCACACGTACGCTGCAGCCATTAACCTGAGAACTCAAACGTCCGGCAACATCAGCCCGACTTTAACCCTCCTAACATCCACCAGAGGACAGAGCACTAAAGCAGGATTATGGGCTTATCTCGATAACTTCATGATTAAACCTGGGTTTTTAGTCACACAGAGGTACATGATTTTTATGCTGTAGACCTGGAGCAGGTTATGTTTGAGATAAAAAGATCAACCAGTCCTTAGAAAACAAGTCAAGTCAAGTCATCTTTATTTATATAGCACATTTAAAAGACATCAAGTGT